AAGTGACCAGCTACCAGAACCTAATGGCTACATATTGTATTAATCACTGTAATATCTGCCACCAGACAGTTGCTTGTCTTCATTGTAAGCTTTTTTAAAGAGCTCAATTTCGATTTTACCTCCAAAATAAGTACTCAGACTTTCCGAATTTTAACATAGATACGACAGCTTGCCTGCTTTGAAAATACATCTGTACGTTGTAAGTTCTTTTGAAAACAGACACTAATTAAATCCTATCCCCAAAATAATAAATACATGTACTCTTCCATACTTTACTATGTTCTTGTTCTCTACTTGCAGATGATCACTTCAGATGAATACAGGAAAAATCAAAGGCAGGTGGGAGAAGTATGAGTATTCAGGATGCTCTGCATACACCAAAGAGAGAAAGAATTAAACCAGTGTTTCCCTTTTTTTCTTGAAGAACTGGAAAATGTGTATGCTTTCTTATGCAATATCCCATTTTCCACTGAAGTTAGCAGCCAGAGATCTAACAGCGAGCTCTTCAGACTGTTATTGCTTTCCAGCAAACAACAATAATAAAAAAACCCCTGCCTTTTCATTAGCTTTTCTTTTTCCAGGTGTAGCACCAAGATCTAAGGAAAATGCTATGCCATATATAAAAACACAGTCTAAAAGTCATTATACTCAAGGGACTTTTGCAGCTTCAAAGGAAATAGATGACATATGTGCATTGTAAGTTAACATTCTGATTACTATTCCCTATGAGACCATTCAACACCAGTTCATAAAGAGCTGCAGGAGTCTATATCACACTTTGCATGTTTTTAAAGTGCGGAGTAAGTTACTCTGTACACACACACTTTTGGTCTCAGCCTCACTCAGCTGAAGTACAATGTGCATACACACATAGAAGGACTCCGGCAACAGGCAGGACAAGAAGCACAAGAACGAGGGCATACAAAATTTTATCTCCTTATGCACTTGGCTAATAATGGTTGGGTTTACTTGACTGTTGTGAAGGTCACCTATGTGAGCTGCAGAGTATCAATTTGTTAAAAGTAGCTGCAAGTAAAATCAGAAGTTACAGCAGCCCTGATGCACTGACGGGGAGTTGTTAGATTCACAGCAAGTTACTGTGTTGAAATAATCAAGAGTAATAACTAAAGTCCTTCTCTGTGCAGAGATGATCTTGCACAGTTCCTTTCTTTCACTTCAGCCATACCAACCAGGTATGCATATTTATCTATCTGTATTTTGACACACATATAAATCTATGTACTTATACACATCTCTTTCCATACATGCTTGCATATTTACACACACACATATGCATGTATGTGTTTAAACACATTTACAATTCCCTTTGCCCCAGTCCTATCAAGAAGGGCATTTACATGGGAATGAAAACAGAATAAGGGCCACTGCTAGCTCTTTTAAACCCCTTCTGTGCATTTGTATATTTGTGTCTTACCTTCAGCACAGAACAAACCTGTTTATGGAAAATCATGTGTCACCGTTTAAGGTATTATGAACACTGCCCATGAAATCTTGGACCTTCTGCTACCTTCCTTAAGGCAAACAATAAAACTGAGGTATATTTATTATTAATATAAAACTTTTCTACTGCACCTTTCATTTCTGAAGCTCTGGTTTAGCTTCACATAGTTGCTGCAAGGCAGTAATATTCTACCCACTTTAGGGATGGCTAATGTGATAAGAGTCTGAACAATAAGACAACAAAGCCAAAATCTGAACTCTGATAGCAGTCAGTTTTCTATCTTGTGCTAGACAGTGACCTGTTGGTGATGCTTCAGTTAATATGTGTGTTCTTGCCAGGATCTCTGTGTAGTCTTTCCTTGACAGTATACTTTTCTTTCAATGAAGTCTCTAGACAGGAGTAAAGGCTATTAAGAGTTTTGCGTTTTGAAACCTATTGAACAATTACAGCAGTGTCTGATTTTGAGAAGCTTATTTTGAAACATTTAAAACAGGCCTGACCATCACACATGAAAAGCACCTGCAATCTAAAATTTCTACTGGATTTTTGCAGAAATCTAAATGTCTGAGCTCTCCAGATAGTAATTTTTTAGTAACTAGTAATAGTAATAGCAATTATTCCTTTGATACTCATGGCCTTTTAAACCCCTGCCCCAGACAAGAACATTTTACACCTTTTTCAAGGACATGTGAGTTTTTGCTGATGGTCTACAGTTCCCCAGAAGCTCACCCATCTGGTATTCCTTCTAGTATATTTCTCTGTAGATAGATAAGACTGCAATTTGGATCAACTGTATAAAATCCTTTTGCACCCCCTGGCTACCCATTGATAAAAGCAGCCTTCTGTACCCAGCAGTTCTTAAGAGATGCAATTTGCAGTACACAGTTCTGTGCAACAGCCAAGCAAAGCTCCAGTTCCCATTTCATGTAAACAGTGAGTCAGATCACTTGAATAGGGTAACATTTTATCAATACCACTAAGCGATCAGAATCAGTCCAATCCTGCAAGCTTTAAGATTTTTGTTAATTATTGTGGAGCTGCTGGAAGCCTAGGTTTCTTTTCAAACAAATTACCTTTCAAACATCTCTATCTCAGCTCGCTTTGCTTTTTGCTCCATGGTTGCCTCTTTATTTTCATGGGAGGGGAAAAAAAAAATAAATAATAATGTGTTAAGTTCTTTACATACAGTTCAGTGCCTGCCTATTGTGAGCACAGCCAAATCCCATAGTGACTGGATGTCTACAGCCCAGTTCACTGCACTCCTTCTTTCAATAAGCAGGCAAGGCAAAGAATGAAACAATTTTGCTTATCTACTGCTTGCTGCTCAGTTGCAGCAATGGGTGTGGAGGCAGCACCATCTCTCATCCTGTGCAGACATTTTTCAGCTGCATGCCCTGAAATTGAAATTTTGAGATGTTTATAAATAAATAAAAACCTGCCTATATTTAATGCAGTGTGGTATTTGCATAATTACTTTTCAAGGTAATGAGTGTTATAGAAGCCAAAACACAGAAGGTTGAATATGTTTAGAGCAGCCTGTGCCAGCAAATAAACAGAGAACTCTTGTAAGTATCAAATTGCAGAGCAGTTTAGAACCAGCGTAATTTATTTAGGGAACAATAAGCATCTATTTGTGCTGGGCAGGTGGCCAAGGTGAACAAATGAAAGACGTATATGTAATTGAATATTAGATGAGCCATCATTTCATTTCACGACCATTTGTCTCTTGGAATATCTGTAATGAACAAAACATTACAAAATAAAGATGGTTGTCAAACTACCTCCTCCAAAGTGAAGCAAACAGCTGGGCTGAAGCAAGTAATGACAATTTGAAAGAAAATATTCTGAGATGGTGGCTATCCACTTTGTTAAGTGATGAAATCAACACCAACATCAGCCTGAGATACAGAGATCTAGACAGTGACATCTCTGCCTTCCTGGATGGATTATAAATGAGCTGGCAGGTAGGAGACAGGTCAGAGATGCACCTGGCTAACCTGTATTGACAAAAAGCAAGTAACCAACCCACCCTGTATAGCAAATCCCAGAGATATATGGGCATCAACTATTAAGCCAAGGTATTATGATGTTTTATCATCCACTTGCTGCATAACCCATCAGAAAGTAATTAGTATCAATAATATTCAAGGGTCTGCAGTGTTTTCTTCAAGTGTGTTTCCAAGACCATTATAGAAATTTGCAGAACATTGGTCTACCTGTAAGACATTATTCCTACACAAGAAAAGGTAGTGGTCTTTGGGGACCTAAATGTTTAACTGACAATTCTGACTTAAAATATTCCTAACGTTTTCTAACATAGCTACTGTTTGTAATGCAATGAGACTCACATTGCACCTGAACTGAAATTCTGAAGTACACAACTGAAGTACACAAACAGCAAATTTGCCAACAACACCATGCTGTGTGTGGTGGTTGATACACTGGAGGGAAAGGATGCCATCCAGAGGGATCTGGACAGGCTTAAGAGGTGGGCCCGTGTGAACCTCATGAAGTTCAACAAGGCCAAGTGCAAGGTCTTGTACACAGGTCAGGGCAATCCCAAGCACAAATACAGGCTGCAAGGAGAACGGATTGACAGAAGCCCTGAGAAGAAGGACTTGGGGGTGCTGGTTGATGAGAAGCTAAACATGACCCGGCAATGTGCGTTGGAAGCCCAGAAAGCCAACCGTATCCTGGGCTGCATCACAAGCAGCATGACCAGCAGGGCGAGGGAGGGAATTCCCCCTCCTCTACTCCACTCTGGTGACACCCTCCTTGCAGTATAGCCTTCAGCTCTGGGGTCCTCAGCACAAGAAGGACATGGACCTGTTGGAGTGAGTCCGGAAGAGGCCATGAAGATGACCCGAGGGCTGGAGCACCTCTCCTATGAGGACAGGCTGAGAGAGTTGGGGTTGTTCAGCCTGGAGAAGAAAAGGCTCCAGGAACTTGTTAAAACTGTTTTGGAATGTAAAGCTGTGATTTAGCACTGCTGAGAAATACGTTCTAAAAGCTAGGAGGTTCTGCAGTCATAATTATGAGAGAGAACAAAAATGGAAGAAGAATTAGTAATCAAAATGGTGTAAACCAAGTCACTTTTCTATCCTATAACCCCAAACCCATAACTGTTAGTCCCGCAAAATGCTTCTTAAGTTAAAATCTTCTAGATAACGGAGAGTTTGAAAATATAAGTAGAACTCAAATATATATATATAATAAAAGACAGACTAGATAGCTGCAAATAAAAATTAAAAGAATAATGGAAACACATCTCCATAAATGTAAAGATTTTGGCTACTTGCTCCTGCCACAGAAAATAGAATCAGAACTGATATGTAACTGGAACAAAATTCAGGCTTAGGCATCTCTTTATCTGAAAGTTAATGGTAAAGTGTTGATACTTAAAGACATAAATGAAATTACTGGAGATCAGAGAGGATTCATTTACACAGAAAAGTTAACCATGAGCTTGTTCTGTTGTGCTACTGAGGATCTCAAGCTTTCACTAACATTATCAGGAATGTTAATGCATGTAAGAGAATGAAGTACTCAAGATCCAGCTGAGTGACAGCAAAGGAAGAACAAGATAACAGCCTGCCTGAAAGGTGTAAACATCTAAGAGGAAGGGGAATAACTTACTAAGTAGTATCATGTCACAACAGTGTTCAGAAATTATTGCTTTGACCTAAGCATTTGGTGTTAGACAAAACTTAAATCAACAGTGAATATGTTACATATTGCAAAGCTTTTTCAGGGTCAAAATTGATTCCAATGTACAAAGCAGTATTAAAGAGAGTCCACAGGACAACAACTGTCAGTCTCATCCAGTAAGGCACATTTTAGCTTAAGGAACAGAAGGAGGACTTTTTCTTCAACAGGA